GGGGGGGGGGGGGGGGATAATCCGGGTGTCGAGCTGCGAAGTACAGCGGAGGGCTATCCTGCAGCAGAGTCTCTTAAGCTATGAAAAAATTCGAGGTTTTCGGCTCTCCGGATGCCCAGCTAGGAGTAGGGTGTCAGTAACGCCACCTTCTGGCTAATTCAGTCGCGAGGTGGTTCCCTATCTACGAAAGTCAGCGATCTTTTGGTGAAAGTTTGACAGGCCCTGGCGTCTGTTAAGTTAGAGAAAAATTCTATTGCTTGTACAGCATGTAAAAGGAGAAAAACTCTGCACACTCACATCTCCGGCGTCGAATGTCAAGACCAGTATTAGGTTGCACAGGACGCCATGGATTTCGGACGAAAGGACACGTCAGCAACTAGCCGTGGAGATTGTCTCATAATCTGCCTTCAACGCCAGGACAGTCTTCACCAACGCCAATCTTCTCAAAGCTGCAGGACGCATCAACTGCCGTAATCGCCTTACAAGTCCAGAAAGACAGGCGTTGGGCAACTGAGTGAAGGCACACTCATCAATCGTGGTGAAAGTTCCATTACGGAACATTGGAAGCGTTGGATTTGTCGTACAACCATCTGCTGTCCATCTTCCTATTCGCATTAGATCCTCTCATCTATCCTGGCTATCCTTCGACTCCGTAAACAGCATCAAACCATCACTATCATCAACTGCTATCCTCGGCTGATGACTCGAACTAAATGTTTTTATGAGGATTTGGAGGAAGTTGTAAAAAATTCTTAAGTACAATCCCTTTGCCATGGGTGACTTCAATGTGAAAATCGGGATGGTAGAAGAAGGCGAGAATAGGAATCCGGAATGAGAATGGAACCGCTTTGTTGGGCTCTTATCCTCCGCACGATTTTTCGTGGCAACTCCATCTTCATGAAGGAAGAACACCGGCGGTCCACCTCCCAACGGTAGGCTCATGCGGGGATCGACCACATTCTCACAGAAGGTGGTTTCACTGGACGTCTCATTATACCATCCTCCATTATTTCGTTTGAATCAACGCCTATTTAAACCGAAAAAGAAGGTCCGCCCACGTTGAAAGAATGATGTATTATGTAGGATGTATAAGGATCATATATTACGGCGTCAGTTGGAGGACCTCCTGACCGCTTGTGACGGGCCCATAGAGGAGACCAGCGAAGGACTACGCCCTGCTTTTCAAAGGACTAAAAATCCGTGATGAAAGCGACTTAATGCCTCGACAAGGGACTTGAAACGAAATTCGGATGCCACCGAGGAACTGCTTGAGAAGGGAGGGCCCCGAGGCTGGATCCGACTGATCACATCTCGAACCTGGCCGATACTGATCGCGCAACAGCTTGGGGGAAGGCTTTTTTAACCTAAAGGCAATCGAAACTTTTGGAAGCCTGGAGGAGTGCAAAGAAGTACCACCGGAATATTTCAACTATCGTATTTCGTTCACAGCATACTAAACAAAGACGGGACTCGCATCTTCCCGACAAATGATGGAATCAATCAGTAAAAGGCTCTACACCAATATCTTCTGCTTAAACCTTTAAATCCCGTTATCCACACTGAAAATATCATCGTGGAATCTATTTTCTGAAGGATGCACCGCA